TTTTTTTATACTCTTCTTTTTTCAACGACTTCATAAATTTGATCACAACTTCATGCAACGATGAGGAATCATTTTGATCCCCTAGATTTTGTATGATTGAATCAAACAACCAAAACTCACAAGGAGCCAGATCTGGAGAACTAGGTGGATGTGGCATTATTGTCACGCCTTCCAATTGAAGATAATTGACTACATCTTCATGAGTATATAGTTTTCCATTATCATGATGAAGTTTAATTGAGTGAATACCTAAGGAAGGCCGTTGGTTCTTAATTTCATCAATAACTGGTCGCATACAATTATTGATGTAATATTGATGATCGATTGCTTACCCACGTTTAACAGAATGAATCAAAACTGGACCACCCTGTTACTCAAGCAGCATTCAATGATTTCCGACCGATTTGCTTGTGACAAAACCATGATTCATCACTTGTTACTACATCATATAATCCCCAAACACGTTGTTCAAATTTTAACCAGTTTTCTTGACATATTCGTATTCGTTCAGCTTTTTGAAAGTTCGTCAGATATTTGGAAACATAACATGCAGTAATTTTTTCAACTGCAAATAATCAGAAATAATTCGTTGGACGGTCCCATGGCTTAGACCACTTTGTGCTTCGATTTCGCCAACTGTAGCATAAGGATTATCATTAATAAAATTGCGAACGTGTCTAATATTTTCAGATATTGTCTCCGTTATAGATCTGCCAGATCTTTCTTCATCTTCAACTTCCTCTCGACTTTCACGAAACCATCTTGACCATCTTTGAACAGTTCTGAGAGGAGGAGCTTCATCACCAAAGACAGTATGTAATTCATTATGAATAACTATTGGTACAGTATGAAGTGCAGTATGCACTTCAATATAGAAACGAAAATATTCTTTATCCATTTGAAAAGAGGTGAATAATTTTGATCGTATTATGATCTATGTTGGAAACAATATGTTATATTGTCTTCAATATATTATTTCTGTTCTCTGCTTTTCTTTCCTTTTAATCTTCTCCTCTCTTCTCTTTCTTTTCTATCTTTTTAACTTCTTTGATATATATCTTCGTTTATATATGTGAAACACATGTACTCTGTTTGTTATTTTTTGTATGTGTAGTTAGTCCTTGTATATTATCAAGGTGAAAATTTGTACAAGCTGCAGAAAACTTAAGAGTATCAAAACTTTTCCTTATATGATATCACTTGAAGATTTATAAAATATCATAGAATTATAGAGCACGACTTGGACTATCAGAATATATAGAGAAAAAATTTTCTAAAGCTTTCTGTAAAACGTTACAGGATCGGCACTACTACTTTTGGTATACCCTATGTATAACGATGTTTGAACGTTTAGGTAATGTATTAAAACATCTTGATCGACCTTCCAATCTTTTCCCCTTCTAATCACCTTTATTATTGTTATTCAAGCAGTTCAATTCAGAATAAAGATAACATTAATATGTTAATGATGGAATCCAGTCCTTTAAAAATCATTAAAAAGTGATCTCACTTAGAAGACATTCTATGAGAAGGTGCAAATGAAAGACTGATATCATTTTTTTTGTCGCATATGAAGACCTGTCCTAGAAAATGTCTACGATAAGCGTTTATGTAGAGATTAATCAT